CTCCTTTCCAGTCAATTTTAATCTTCAAAAATTTAAATTAAATGTCAATCATTCTCTTCTGTCTTCTTAATTCCTCTTCTTTTATTGTTCTCTATTCTTAATAATGTTTTCCTTTTCCTATACTCTCACACACTCAGCAAGCCCTTGCACCTTAGTGTCTTTATTGCATTGCTGGGAGTGAAATGATAAAAAAGGAAATTGTCCAGTATTCACTGTCATATAGGAGAATTGATATTACATCACATTTCAGAACTCTTTTCTTTGTTTCAAATGAAATTTTCCTGTTTCTTAATAGTTAATTTAGTTTTAAGAAAGCATCATTCACTTTTCCAACGAGTTTCAAAATTCTGTCACACTTTCTGTTTTTTTTTGTTATAATAAAAATGATATAGTTTTTGATGTAATGGAATAACTTGCCACCCCCATGAGTGGCGGCACTATAGGTGGTAAACACCTATAAGTATCTGTTAGGACAGCGGACAGGAGAGTCGATAGAAGCACGCACACAACTGTACTGACTTGCGATGACAGTGTACATAAGTATTATTTCCTTGCTTGTTCTACTGGTTTCTACAATAAACCTGTTACTATTTATCCACCATATTTGTCCAGTCCATATTCCTATTAGCATGGAATATAACAGTTTTATTTCTGTACTGGTTTGATTCTGACCTTTCCAATTCGTAACTCGTATCTTTGGGTCTCCATTTTAGTAGTCTTTAAGTGATGATAATAGTTGATCATAGCTAAAAAAATCTTTCCCTTCTTTTATCATCCAAATCTGTGTGATACTAGAATTAGTGTTCACTTAGTCACTAGACAGGCAGTAGGATTTTTGATTCTCAATAAAACAGAAGTGAAAATTTGAAACCAAGAAAAAAACATTTCCAAAACTCATTAAAAGAATTCACGACTGATACATTCAAGTTGGTTAAACAAAAAAAGACAACACATAATACAAACAAATAATACTAAAAAACATTTATGTACTTTGTCACATATCACAATTTAACACACACCAAACAAAACACGTCTCTAAATTTATTACAAACATATATAGCTGGCCACTTGGGCACTTCGAGGTGGTGTATTGGTTACCAAGTTTGTCTCACTAGAAAAATTACGACTGAGTAGTGAGTTCCATCTTCACTGGGTTCCCCTTACATTCGGCCTTGTGCCACATCTGAGCTACGCTTGCAAAATCATTATATTGCTGGCCACTCATATTCGAGGATATCTGTCTACTGGGACGGCTAGCCAATCCCTATTGCAGACACTTGCAGGCGCATTTATGTTTATTCAACTCCCTCAGAGCCCCCCTGGTTTATACTTTCTGGGAAAGAGCATGTTACCCAGCATGATCAATAATTTGAACTCGGCCAAGCACAGCTATCGACGACCCCAATTTTCCTTTCCATTCAGTTTCACTCACAAGGCTTGGGTATAGTTTTCAGGCTCTTTCCAAAGGTGCTACTCGCTGGGATAACATCAGGAAGTCCCCTGCCAAATCGACCATGGTGAGATTCGAACCCGGCTTTCATGGTCGGAATGCGAAGGTTCTAACCACTGAGCCATGTCCCCATGAACATGGCTCAGTGGTTAGAACCTTGTAATTACATAAAAAGGGAATAACGTCTCAACTCAATATCCTCTTGTGTTTTCTGTTACATGTTTCTCCTCACCATTCATTTTCAGCATTAACCTAGAAGATTCCTCTGCTACAATTTGGAGCTAGGTAGTTAAAATTACAGTAACTTGTTACGCTTTTCCTTTTACTACTATAACCAAAACAACACACTCATAATAGTAGTAACTCCCGTAATTTACAGCAGTCGTGACATACGCTATCAATTGCTTCACCCTCTTGCTAACGACCAAACACATTATGTCTTCTTACATTTTTGTCTCTCTTTTCTTTACGTCATTGCAGTTTCCATATTGAGTCTTCCATTAATACAGCGTCATCTATGTAGCTTAGGGCACGATTGAAATCGCAGATAATAAGTAACAGAACTACTAGTTTTTTTAGGATCACCCCGTTCTGTAGGCTAAAACCTGTGAAAAGGCGCATCTTTGTCACACGCCCCATTCTATTTTTGTGTACTTACTCAATTCATTTTCTATCCGTATGAGGGTGAATTGTTTTCAGTAAATGTCCTGCATTATTCTAATATATTTCCAAAATAAATTGGGTTTTCCTAGCAGTTCAAATAGATCTTTGTGTCGTACATGATCAAATGTTTTTTTAAAGCATCACATTTCACATGAACTGTAAATAACAATTGCAAGTACTAGAAAATTACGCATAAAAAGCAAACAACCCAACATTAATGTTATAAAATTTAGGAATCAGCATATTAGATTTCATAACTAAGAAAATAAGACAGCAACATGAATTGACATGTGAAGACACGATAATTTAATAGAACATTTGAAAAAAATGATGAAAACGACATAGCACAAAAAAAATCATGCTAATAATTTATGAAAACCGAAACACTCAGACATTGGATATTTTATATTTAAGCTTTCACCGGAAACCTAGAAAATGATCTGAAATATAGAAAAAAGACCTTTAAAAAATTTTCGTTGGCTTGTTTTTAATCAAACTTAAATAAATACTATATATATATATATATATATATATATATATATATATATATATATATATATATATATATATATATATTTTGTAATGTATGTTTGTAACAGTATCCGAAAAAAAAAAAAACGTGTTTTACCGATCTCTGTTGGACTGGGTACCTCCAATTTTTATTTTATTTTCTTGAACACACACACACACAAACAAACACACATATATATATGTGTGTGTGTGTGGGTATGTGTATATATATAGGGAAGAGGTTATAGAAGAGAGAGGCCGCAAAGGTTTTTTGTTGTAATGGGTATTTTTTTTAAAATATATATTATGCTTTATTTTTCATAATGGAAAATAATATGGAAATATATATGGAATAAATATTGAAAAATAAAGCATAATATATATTAAAAAAAATTGAAAAAAATCCACGTTACAACCAAAAATATATATATTAAGAAGAAGGAAGAAACTGCAAACGTTTTTGGTTACAATGTGGATTTTTTTTCAATTTTTTTATTACACTCCCTGTGTCTGTTTGACTCTCTGTTTCTCTGTTTCTCTCTTTACCTCTCCCTCTCGTATATATATATATATATATATATATATATATATATATATATATATATTTAATAAATAGATGTAACATGTCTAATCAAATACGAGAATCCACTAAAATAACGTAATCAGTTTTTTCTATACTTTTGTTTTCGTTTTACAATCTTTATTTCTTTACTCTTTATTTATGTATTCATTTTTCTTTCTTTATTTTTTCTTTCTCTAATTTTCTTTCCTTCCTTTATCACTTTGTCTCTTTGTTTCTTTCTTTTTTATTCACATTTTCTGTTTCTGTCTTCATTGTCATTTCTCTCTCTCTTTCTCTCTCTCTCCTCTCTCTCTCTCTCTTCTTTCATTTTACTTTACGTCCTTTATTTTTCTTCCTTTTTCACTTTCCTTTCTATCTTCACTTTTTTCTACACTTTACTTTCTTCTCTTTTCTTTCTTTCTGTTTCTTTCCTCAATTTTCTTTCTCTCTTTGATTCTTTGTTTTTCTTCACTTTTCTTTCTTTCTTTCATTCATTCTTTCTTTGCGTGTGTGTTTGCGTGCATATTTCGTATAGATAGGTAAAAATGGTAAGTTGTCATGCAAAATATATCAGTAGGTGACACACGGGTTGTGTACTTGTCGATATGTGCATTATAGTCAAATTAGATTGCATGCAATGTAAGAAGAAAAAGTTAGCAGGCAAAGAATGCAAAAGTTTGGTTAGCAAATAAGAAATAAATCAAGAAAAATAAATAAGGTAAGTAAAAAAAAAAAAAAAGAAAAACTGTCATTTGATGACAATGAGCGTTAGGTACGTTAATCTGAAACTCCTTACTCAAACACAATTCAAAATACAACAAGAATTGCTGATATCATCAAAAGACAGAGCTTAGAAATTAAAACATTTGATGAGTTCATTTCTAAGTATCTTTAGAAAGAATTGAAGATGAAGCGATAGGTAAGGTTGGAGAAAGATGAAAGCTTTCAAAGAACGAAACGTTTCTTTGTTGTTGTTGCTGTTGTCATTGTAAGTATGGACTTAATTTTGTTTTTGTTTTTTGTTTTTTTTACTTATCTTATACTTACTGTTGTTGTTGCTTTTGCAATTACATTGTTGTGTTATAGAACGTCATAGAATTTGGCAGTGGGGGTCTTAGATTAAGATTATATGTGTGATATGTTTAACCGTAAAGACGACTTACTAAGATTTCCATTATGTTTGTCAACGCCCAAATTCATTTGCTGATCAAAAAGAGTCCTTCAGGGCATTTTGTGAAAAGAAATATTCAGCAGAGAGTTTTGCTTATTTATTTATTTATTTATTTAATGTTGGTAGTAGAGTTAACATAGAATATATTGAAGACAGCAGGCGACTATTTAGGATAAATGGAAGAAAGTTACATCGTTCTGAACGTGTTGAATCGTAAATAAGTAAAACATGGGTAGAGTGATATTAAACGCTCAATGAAACAAAAAAAAGAGTAAAAAAAACAATATGGCGACGAAAAGAAAAAAAGAAACGGGTGAAAAGTAAAAGGAGTTTGATAAATAAGAATCAATTGACGAAGAAAGATGGGGAAGGAAAAACGGGGAAGGAAAAACGGGGTAAGAAAGAAAATGAAAACAGAAAAGAACAAGAAAATAATATGATGGGAAAAAAGAATAACAAGATGAGGTGGAGAGAAAATATACGTGAAAAGAGAATAATAAGGAAGAGGAAAATAGAAAGATGAAACTGGAAAGACCAGAAGAGGAAACAAGCAAGCAAGCAAGGAATTTTGCAAAGAAACAAAAAAAAAAGCATAAAAAATGAAAAAAAAAAATGAATCCGAAGAAAAGAACGAGAATTAAGACAGAAAAAATAGAGAATAAAAAAGAAAGAAAGAAATGGGAAGGAAAAAAGTAAAAGGAGAGCAAAAGAAAGAAAGAAAGAAAGAAAGAAAGAAAGAAAGAAAGAAAGAAAGAAAGGCGGTAAAAGGAAAGCAAATGAAAAGAAAGAAAGAAAGAAAGAAAGAAAGAAAGAAAGAAAGAAAAAAAGGCGGTAAAAGGAAAGCAAATGAAAAGAAAGAAAGAAAGAAAGAAAGAAAGAAAGAAAAAGGAGGTAAAAAGAAAGCAAATGAAAAGAAAGAAAGAAAGAAAAAGGAGATAAAAGGAAAGCAAATGAAAGGAAAGAAAGAAAGAAAGAAAAGTTAAAAGGAAAGCAAATGAAAGGAAAGAAAGAAGTTAAAAGGAAAGCAAATGAAAGAAAGAAAGAAAGAAAGAAAGAAAAAAAAAAGAAAGAAAGAAAGAAAGAAAGAAAGAAAGAAAGAAAAAGGTGGTAAAAGGAAAGCAAATGAAAGGAAAGAAAGAAAGAAAGAAAGGCGGTAAAAGGAAAGCAAATGAAAAGAAAGAAAGAAAGAAAGAAAGAATGAAAGAAAGAAAAAGGAGGTAAAAGGAAAGCAAATGAAAGGAAAGAAAGAAAGAAAGAAAGAAAAGTTAAAAGGAAAGCAAATGAAAGGAAAGAAAGAAAGAAATGGAAAGGAAAAAAGGAGTTAAAAGGAAAGTAAATGAAAGAAAAGAAGAAAAGGTGAAGAAAGTGGAAAAAAGTAAGAAAGAAAATATGGGTGAGTTGAATGTTAAAAATAACAAAAATAGTTAAAGGACAGCGATAACAAAATGTCCATATGATAAAAAAAAAACCGATTAGATGCATTTGGAAAAAAAGAAAAAAAAGAGAACGTTGTATCAGCAAACTGAGAGTATATATAAGACATTTGACCAGAAAAGTAAATTTTATAGTCCAAGTCAGCCATTTTAGTCATCAACACAAAACAAAGATCTTTAACTATGGCACATTCTGTTCAGCTTAGGCTTCTAAAAGCCGAGAACAACCAAATGATAGAGATTTTCCAGACTCGCCTGGTCTCAAGTTGATACGAGCAAACGATATTAATACCAGTTATTCCGTTGAATGTGTTTAGATATTGTTTAGATATAGAATGTGTTTAGATATAGAATGTGTTTAGTTATAGAATGCTGAGATAAAAATAAAGAAGGAAAAGAGTTAAAATAAGAAGGAAATAAATGAATTCATTAAGTAGGGGAAAAGAAAAGGAAAATAAGAAAGAGAAGGATGAAAGAGAGAAGAAACGAAGAAAGAAACATAAAACGGGGAAAAGGAAAAGAGGAAAAGAATGAAGTGAAAGGAAAAGAAAAAAAAACGAAGAAAAAAGAAAAAAAAATGAAAATACAGAAAAAGGAAAGAAAACGATAAATAAAATCGAATCGGAAGAAAATAAAAATAGGAAAACTGAAAGAAGAAAAGGACAAAGGAAAAAGATAAAGACGGAAAAAGATGGTAAAGAAAAAACAAAATGCAAGGAAGAAAAGAAAGAAAAAGAGGGAAAAAAAAGGAAAGAAAAAGGAAGAGATAAAAAAAAGATAACGGAAAAAGGAAAACACGGAAAAGAAGAACAAGTGAAAAAGAAAAAAAAAAAAGAAAAAAGAAAAGGAAGAAAATAATAAAATGGAAAAGTAAAAGAAAAATGTGAAAAAAAGGAAAGAAATAGAAAAGAAGTAAACATAATGAAAAATGAAAAGTTAAAGTAGAAAATAAGAAAATGGAAAAGAAAAGAACAAGGAATAAAGAGAAAAGAAGAAATGAACAAAACAAATGAAGAAAAGTAAAAGAAGAAAATATTAGAAATATTTAAAAAGAGGAAGAAACTGATGAATATAAATGAAACGGACTCTGAAGAAATGTAAATTGGTAGAAGAGATGGCCTGTCACGTGGCTGATAAAATTGTATGTATTTTTCAATCATATCAGAGATCTCATTTCAGTCCATGGTTAAAATTACGATTTCGAATGCAAATTTTCAAACCAGGAAATTCTACCCCACTTAGAAAAAAAAAACTGGCGCAACACAATCTTTCAACTGCTATTCCGCCAAGTGTCTTTGTCTGTACTCAACTAAACTTAGAAAATATCGAGAAATTAAATTGGTTTGGCCATCCTTGACGATAAATTAAACCCTGTAGTAAGGCTTCTGATTGGAAGTTTTTGAGGAGCGTGGAACTACCTCTTAATTACTGTTGTTCCCAGGTCAACCCCGACCCGAGGTGGTAGCACCTTTTAGGGTTGCAGCTATGGGTAAATAGTTAACCCCTAAACTGATGTCAAAACACTAAAGTATTAAAATTTTTAGAATAAAAATACGGCAATACATTTTCATAGTAAAAAATTACGAGCAACAAAAATAAATTACAACAATATACTTTTTAGCAAAAAATTACTAGCAGTACATTTTTGTAACAAAAAAAAACAACAAAAACAAACTTACCAGCAATACATTTTGTAACCGAAAAAACTTACCAGTAATACATTTACCAGCAATATATTTTTGTAACAATGAAAAATTGCTAGCAATACATTTTTGTAACAAAAAAAAACAACAAAAACAAACTTACCAGCAATACATTTTGTAACCGAAAAAACTTACCAGTAATACATTTACCAGCAATATATTTTTGTAACAATGAAAAATTGCCAGCAATACATTTTTATAACAAAAAAATTGCCAGCAATACATTTTTGTAAAAAAAATATATTAACAGTACATTTTTTGTCAAAGAAATTACTAATGTTCCGAAGAAAATTAAATTTCGGCATTAAATGACCCATAAGGATGTTGATATGCCGTTAAACAAACAAACATAAATTGGTTTGCCTCATGATGAAATTAATTTAACGAATTCAAGTGATCATGGCGCTAGAACACGAGTAAAAGCTAACCTTTTTTCTATTGATTTTCAAGTTAGATAAGCAGGTAAGCCTTTACTGCTTGGAAGTTTGATGAAATAAAAACTCACACACGAAAGCAAAAACAAAAACATTAATCTAAGAACTCGAATCATGTTCTTAAATAGCCTCGTCAGATCTAGACTCTCATATGGATGCCATGCATGGTGCTCAAAACTTTCATAAATATCTAGACTGTCAGCTGTATATAACCACTTTCTAAGATTAACGGTTAAAACTGGTTCTGAGAGTGTAGAGCAGATAGGTCTTAACGAGGACTCTCCTACTTCAAGGATCTCGCTATATAATTACGAAGAAATTTATCAAATAACAGAAACCACATCACTTGAGGACTTTCAACAACAGTAACAAATGGATAGCACATGTAACTCGGAAAGAAAATCATAATATAATCAAGGTGTTGACGTTCTACACTATTTCAAACAAAACGCTAGGAAGGAAACATCCCAATCAATAATAGAAAGGGTGATAACTCTTTCTGTAGTTGAGAAACCTATTTTTCTGAAAAATTCGTTTTAAGAAAAAAGATTTTATAAATTTCAACTGAAAATAGCACCTGCTGCTCGGTCAATAAGTGTTGAATGTTTCCTTATAAGGAAACGGCTAATATCACTGTTACTATTTCTTTCTTCTGGTTTTGTCTCGTTCTCAGTAAATATTGAGGAATTGATTAAAGAGGAGAATGAAGAAAGGCAAACAGAGAGAGAAAAAGTAGCGGGATGAGAGAGGATAACAAAAAAAAAAAAAGTGGAGAAAATAAAAAAAAAGAGTTAATGTGTAAGAAAACCGGTAGATAAGAGAACAATTACAAGAATGGCAAAAAGAAAATGGTTTTGAAGACTGAAGCCTAGTCGTATTAGCGTCAAATAATCTAACGATGAGAAGTTACAACCCTAAAAAAAAACAAAAAAAAACAAAGACTCTCTTTTAAAAGTACTAAGATATACGTTGAATGCAGAGGCATGATTTGCATTTTTTTCTTTTCGTTTTGTTTTCTCTCACGAATAATAATAAAAAAAAACGAATAAAGAATTGATACTAACAGATAAATCTATAGAAGAAACATAATCATTGAGTAAAAGTGTTAATATACAGAAAAGTCCATTTGGGACTTAGGATAGAAGCGTCCGTGTCCCAACGTATCATCAACATCACTCTTGACAATGGATATATTTACAATAAAGTTAATCTGCATTTTCAATGTGCGTAACAATTGATTTGTAGCAAGTGACTACATGACAGAGTTAGAAAACTCAATTTAATAGAAGCTTGGTTCACAATAGAAAAATAAAATAAAGTCACATGCGATACATTTTCGATCCAACTCTTCTATATTGTCTCAATATATTTTTTTCTTTTAACAAAAGAGATGAAAATTAGATCAGATTAAGTTCCATCTGATACTTTGACTTGAGTTACCGATGAGGTATCTTCAAGGATTTGAGAGATAGATGTGGTTGTTCATTAGGAGTTGTTTCATGTACAAACACGTCAAATTGAATACAGAAATTAGGCTTACAGGTTATTTGACGGGGAAATGCATGTATTTGTTTTATTATTTAAAATGAAAAACAGATAAAGGTTATTTGAGTTTAAGTGGATTTTAAACGACATATCAACTCTTTAGAGATATTTTATGCCAAAACTGATTTATTTGGGTTTATATTTAGGGAAATCTTTTCTTTTTTTAAAAATATTTTTAATATTATATAATCCAACTGATTTCAAGAATGTTATAATTTTATTTATTTTAATATTTTCGAATAGTTCTTTTAGGCTGTTTGCCTTGAAGAAATTGTATTTTTGGAGTCAGATCAAGGCATTCAATTAGAAAATGTTTTACCCTATATTAGGTTTGGCATGTAGGACATCATGGTGGTGGTTCTTGTTTCAGTAAGAATGAAAGCGTCATTTTAGTGTGATCTATTCGTAGCAGTGTTATAGTAACCTCTTCCCTTCGGAATTTTCCATAATAGCAGGTTTTTTTTTTCCGTCAAGATTGTATTTAGTTTATTTTGCGATTTGCTGCTCCATTGTTTTTGACACTGATTTTCTATGTGTTTCTTAATTAATTGTTTTAGGTCAGTCTATGGGATTTGGTAATTTTCAGGAACTCGTCTTAATGCCTGTTTAGCACTTTTGTCTGCTCTATCATGGTCCTTAATTTATACATGGCTAGGAATCCAGATGATCCAATTTTTTTTTAAAGTAGAAATGATAATGTTTTTGAGGATAAAAATATAGACAACGTTTATGTGAAAACAGTATTACAGGTAATTGACAAATTCAGGTAATTTTGAGGACAAAAATTAAAGTACTTCCGTTTGATAACAAAAACAGAAGATAACGTCAAAAATTCATTTAAAGTTATTTAAAGATAAAATATATGTAATTGCTTTTTGAAAACAAAAACGTAGATGATTGTTGAACGAAGAACAGAAAAGCAAATCGTAGTTATTTGCAAACTAAAACGCATGTAATGGTTATATGCAGACAAAAAGGCATGTAATGGTTATATGCAAACAAAAACGCATGTAATGGTTATATGCAAACAAAAATGTATGTAATGGTTATATGCAGACAAAAATGTATGTAATAGTTATTTGAAACTAAAACTCAGTTAATGTTTTTTTTTTTCTGCATATAACCATTAACTGAGTTATATAACCATTACATGCGTTTTTTCTGCACAAAACTGTATGTAATAATTATTTGAAACTAAAACTCATGTAATGCATGTAATGGTTATTTGAAGGCACAAATGAAGCAAATTGTTATTTGAAAAGCAAATGTTTTTGTAATGATTATTTGAAGATAAAAATGAATGTAATATTTATTCGAAAACAAAAATGCAGGTATCAATTTTTGAGGAAAAGATGCAGACGATGTTT